GGCCCACAACAGCCCAATGGAAAATTCCTGGCTTGCCTGCGGGTATGCCCTCAGCCCACCATCCTAGGGATGGATGCAGGTGGCCGATCCTGTAGGCAAGACCTTAGCCAGGCTGGGCCCTTCCCTTCGGAAGGAGGGCAACTGTCCCAGCAGCTCCTAGGATTTTTAAAGAGCTTGTTTCTACCCTCATTCAGTAACGCGGGATCTCTGCAAACCAGTAACTTGTCAAAAATCACTATTTGGGCTGGAAAAACACATTACTGAAGAAGACACTTCTCTATGCCTTTGTTTCCTCATTTATAAAACAGAGATTGGGCTGGCCAGTTAGCTCGGCTGGTTATGTTGGTTATCTGTGGCGCCTTTAGATTTACAGGTGGGCTTTTAGCAGGCTGGCACCCCCTGAGCGCATTTCTCAATTGTTTATCTTCCCTGGGGCCTGGCTAGGTGGCCTTTGAACCAGCTATTTCCTGGAACCGGTGGGGGCTATTAATGTTTAGTGTGCTCGGCCTGACCTTTGTTACGGCCCCTGAAGAGCTGCTTTGTTTAAGCATTGTTACAAGACTGCATACATTAAGGTTATATTTTTCTACAATTCTACTACAATTTTCTATGCCCCTCCCTACATTACAATTTATTTCCAACAGTTAGAGTGCGGTTTTATAACACTAGTGTCAAGAGTTTGAATCCTTGAACCAGTCAGCTGCCAAAAAAAAATAAAAATAAAAAACCAAAATAAAATGGGGATAACAAGAGCTTCTTACCTTACAGGGTTGCTACAAGAAATGAATGAGCTATTTTTTATAACACACACAAACCTGTGATAGGTGGCTACTGCTTATTATTTTTATCATAGTCTATCCATTCCTGTATATCAGCATTCTCCAAATACTATTCAAGCACCATTCTAAACTTTTTGCAGTTTCCACTATTGTTTATTTAGTAGTTTTCCTTAAGATGGCTCATTTCCTTACTACTTAAAATTTATTCTCAAATGGAAATGTATACCGCCATGGTTAATGGAAAAATGGAATTCTGCATCATAACTAGGAGGCAAACGTAAAAAAAACAAGGAAATTTAACTCAAGCCAGTTGAAGGCCAAAGGCTTGCTCCCCAGCCCTCTGTCTTTCCAAAGAAGAAAGATTACAGGGGTACTAAAGGCACAAAAGCAACACTGACACTTTCTCCTCCAGGTAACAGGAAGCCATGAAAGAGCTCAAAAGCGAAGGGCCTTCACCCTGCAGGATTTGGCACTTAATGTCCAGTCTCTGTCCTTCTAAAACTTTCCTCAGCACATATAAGATCATCCTACTGTCCTACACTCTGGAAGATACTGTTCCAGAGCAGCATTGCCCAGCAGAACCTTCTGTGAGGATGGAAATGTTCCATATGTACACTGTCCAGTATGGTAGTCACCAGCCACATGCAGCCATTAAGCTCTTGAAATGTGGCTAGTGTGACTGAGGAACTGAATCTTTCATTTTATTCAGTTTTAATTAATCCAAACCTAGATAGCCACACACGGCTACTGCCTGTGGTATTAGACAGCATAGCTCTACCAAGAAAGCTACATGCCTTGGCTCTCCAAATGAATTTATATTCATCTCGGGGTTATGACCTTGGCTTCCTTCCAGGGAGCTCTTACCAAACTCTTATTACCAAGACAGTGATTTGTCATGGGGATGTAATTGGAGATTGTCTGCTACATCATTTATCATTACTTAATCTAGAGCCCTTTGTGGAAATTTCTTTTAGAGCTCCTTTTGAGGAATTAACATATTTTCTCATTATTAGCAACGGAATTATCCAAAATTACCACATATCCATTTTCACACTGGCTGCCAGGAAGCCCAAGGAAATTCACAAAGCAGTGAGAGCAGTCCTTTCAGAAACTCGTGACAGATATACATGGTTTCTATTTTTTCCTTTAAACTTTTTAGTTTACATTTTCTCTGATTCTTATGTTTTATTTTTTACTTTTTTATCATTCATATATGTTTCTCTGGAAATTAGCTCAAATCTTTTGTGGAATTAAATAGCATGCATTTTTTTTCTAATTCTAAAAAAATAATATTCAATGGTACCAGTATTTTAAGTGAGACCCCTTCTATCCAATATTATTTATGTAAAAAACATTGTAATGAGGGTTTTCTAAAATGCTTCCAAACACAAGCTCGGATTTAAGCTCTGGAGGTACCCACCAGCAGCATCTTTAGCTAAAAAGAAAAAACAATTGCAAGCAAGAGGTGCTACTTCACATATTCCAACATCAGGAAATATTTCTGCGAGCCAAGGTGTGCCTTGAAGTTGCTGCAGGTGACATGGGCACTGTCAAGGCCTGAGGCTCGCTGAAATCTGGGCCACGTCCTCAGGCCACGCCTAGGAAAGCTCTGAAAACAGTGAAGGATGGGGAGAGAGTGGCTTTAGCGCCACTGTGACCACTGTGGAAACAATCTCCCAGGCAACGGCATTATGTGCTGTGTCCCTCTCATTTCATAGCTGACTCTCAGAAGCTAAAAATTGCTGAGTAATATCATGAGGTGAGGGGGGAAAAGTCAAAACCGAAAGGTCAAGGAAATCTCCCAAGTGATATCACATTTTAATTTCACTCTAAAATAAAGCTGTCTGCTTCACTTTCTCCATTCTCTAGAAAACCCCAAAACCAGATTACAGTAAACAACAGAGAAAACTCAAAGACAGACGCAGACAGACAGAGACAACCGCGGTACCTGCTCTAGAGCAATCCCTCCGTTCTCTAGTCTCCGGGTCCTAGAGAGAGCCGTTTCCCGGCCAATGCACCAAAATGTAAGACCGGCCTAAAAGCACGAATCTTAACTTGATGGGAAGGCTCATCTCGCAAAGACCAGGAGGCACAGAGATCGATGCACAGGCAAGAGGTTTTATTTCCGGCATGCTGGAGGTCGCCCCGTTTTCAGGACAGGAGCGGCCCCGAATTTACAATGCAAGCAGCTTTTATACAGTTCCTTGAACAGATAGGATCAACTGTTAGTTATCTGTGGCGCTTTTAGATTTACAGGTGGGCTTCAGCTGGCGCCTTTTGGGTTTACAAGGGGGTTTTAGCAGGCTGGCACCCCTTTAGCGCATTTCTCAATTGTTTACCTTCCCTGGGGCCTTGCTTTGAACCAACTATTTCCTGGAACCAGTGGGGGGCTTTTAGTGCGCTTGGGCCTGGCCTTTGTCACGGCCCCTGATAAGCTGCATTGCTTATGCATTTTAGTGTGCTCGGGCCTGACCCTTGTTCTGGCCCCTAAAAAAACTGCTTTGCTTATTATGCATTGTTACAAGACTGCATACATTAAGGTTATATTTTCCTACAATTCTACTACTTATATACTATGCCCCCCCCCCATTACATTACAATTTATTTCCAACAACACCTTCCAGCCTTAAGCACAAAGCAAAATGTGAAGGGCACTCAGACAAGAGGGTTATTTTAGTTTGAAATCAAAAAAGAAAGAAAAAGAGAATATTTGGAAATCTATCACATCTGATTGTCTTTTTAAACCAAAGCTGAGAGCATTGTTAACACTCAGATTCTCTAACACTTATTAAAATGCTGCTGTTGCCCAGTTGAACTAAAACGATTTTCTTGTGCCAAACTCTATCTTATCCAGCCATAAGATTTTTAGTAAGATGCACATTGCATGCTTATATCCAAGAGCAAACACGGTGATCGCCTGGAAAGGCAAGAAATGAATAATGAGTGTCTACTGTGTGCCATATATTTCTAATCTAATAATTTTATAAGATAAGTATTAGTACTTCATTTTCTACAGATGAAGAAACTAAGATTCACCTAAGTCACAAGGTTTATACCAGGGGTCCTATTTTCCAGTTCAGTGTTCCTTTTTCACCACCCCACTCTCTGGGGAAAACATCTGACTTGCTGAGGAGACTTCTATAACGGGTCAATTCCTGATGAAGAAAAATGGCAACAAAACCCAAGGCTTTCGAAAGAGCTCATGTAGAGTAAGAACAACACCTAACAAGAACTATGGGGATGCAAGAGGACAGGAGAAGCAGCAGGCAGCTGAGGGTGGGTGCAGAAAACAAAGTAGTTCCAGAACAAGTGACACAAAAGGCTGGAAATCAGAACCTGTGGTAAAAAAAGAAAGAAGAAAGATAAGAGGAGGAGAAGGAGGTAGAGCTGAACGAGGCATCAGAAAAGCGGAGAGAAGATGGAAAACCAGAGCCCCACTGGTTGAGCAAAATCAGCTCTAAAGAAGACAAAGGTCCTGTGGTCCTAGACCCTCAATCCCCAAGTGGGGGTGGCTGTCTCTACCCCAGGAAACAGAGGAGATGTCTGTGGCTTTTGCTTGTCAAGCACCCACTGCTCCCTCTTTTGAAAAGAGTAGCTTTTCATTTAGGGAACCCCTTTCTCCACTCTCAGGCATGTGGTTGGGTAAGGTTAACTCCGACTCCAGCGCTGGGGTGACTGCACGAGCCGAATCAGTCCCATCACATAAGTCCCTCACCCCACCCCAAGGTTTAGGGATACTCTTGCAATCCAAGACAGACCAGGGAGACATGGCCCTGGGCTTTGCTGAAACCACCCAGACAGGCCAATCTGCAGAGATACATCCCATCAACCCACAGAGAGCCGGCTGGAGAAGGATGCCCAGCAGCAGAAATAGGAGACGGCAGCAGATTCCGGTCCCCATAGATACAATTATGCCTCAGTCCCCACCTGCCCCTGGATTTCTCAGTCACAACACAAGCCAACAAATCCCCACTTCTGCTCAAGCAGTCTGAGCTGAGATTCTACAGTGGACACACCGGGAGGCCTGACTGTTCTTTCTGTCTGAGTGGCTGTGGCCTCAAACTACTTCCTCAAGACAGCTGGGCAATTAAAAGGCTGGTGTTTACAGGGCCACGGCCTCCTAAGCACAGCGCTTTACCACCAATGGGCAAAACACCTTGTTATAACAAATGGGTGCAGTTCTGCCCAGCTGCGACGTCTGCTGGGAAACCAGGCACTTACCTGATATACGTGGAATGCGTTTGCTGCTTTGCCCCGGAGAAACACTGAAGGGATCCAGACGTTGATCAGCGCGCGGTTTGATCTGACCAAAAGAAAGGTATCAAAATTGGTCATTTTAACTTACAACAAAACAAAAGAAAGGGAACAATTTTCTCCTCTAAGAAGCAATATGCATAAGCAAATTATGACAACGTTATCATAGTAAGCTAAAAGACAAGTTCAAGCCTTATCACCCAGCCTCCTCAAGACTATTTTTAAGAGACTTCGGTATTTAAAAAATTTATATATGCAGTTTGTCCTCTGGAATGAAAAGGAGCTGCCCTTCACTTCTTACTGTCTGAGTGACCTTGGCCTATAATTCATCTGGCCCTCAGTCTCCGCATCTGAAAAAGGGGATCATAATTGGATGAGCCATGGAAGCAACGGGAGGCCCCACATAATCTGCCCACAGAGTTTCTGGGGCACCCAGTGGAGTCATGCTGCTTCCTCACCGTGCTGACTTCACACCCTGACCCCCATTTTAAGATCAGACCCCACAGAAGAGCTCAGGAGATCAACACTCAGGTCTATGAGCATGATAGCTGCTTGGGTGGAGGGAGGGAAGAACAATGGAAAATGACAAATTGGAAAACCAGGATGCTGGACACAAATACCCCTCTTTGGACTTTTCCAAAAACACGGTGTGCATGGGCCTAATGAAGCAAGATTTAAATTCAAATAAAAAGTAAATAAAATCATTTACTGAGTAGCTACAATGTATGGCTCCATGCTTTTACCTATATTTAACTCATTCAGTCCTCATATGGGCTGTTTGAGGCATTTTCAAGGGTTATTTTGGTTATGTGATGGTTTTGCCTTATGTGATGACTTTAAACTTATGAGTCACTGAGCAGTCACACACCACCACCACCCTTCCACCTGCTAGAGCCATATCATGCAGAGCTGATAAGTCGACTGTCGCTAAAACTTCAAGATCAGTCACAACAGCTACCAAACCAGTACTGTGTGATTCTGGGAGGTCTGGAAGGCCCCAGCCTTTGCCTCTGCTTTGAGCTATTCTGGGGCTAAATGCTTTTTTCCTGAGCTCTCCTTCTCTCTAAAGAGCAGCTCATAAAAATTCACCAGCCTTCTGTGTTTAGAACACAATTTGAGATGCTGACGATGGTAGATTCCACGACTCAATGTTCTCACAACCTCTAGAGTAAAGAGCATTTTATTTTCACAAAGAAAATAACCCTTCAGCTAATGGTTCTCTCCTGAAGAAGCATTTCTTCTAAGCTCTGAGCTGAGGTGGCGACCTCGTTCATGGGGTAAAATAAGCCCTATTGATCACTTCTGCGGGGCTCAAAATACAAATTGCAATTTTGAGCCACCTAGCTGGTTTGTGTATATAATGACATTCCTCCTATAAAGGTCCCTGAAATTATATTAGTGGCTAAAGCATGCCCCTTTTATTTCTTTCAGTGTGTGTGTGTGTGTGTGTGCGTGCGTGTGTGCTGAAGTGTAACTAACACCCTGGTTTTCATTAACTTTCCTAGACTGGTCAGGGCCAACAACTTCACAGGGCTACAATGAGGTTACCTAAGACTGGGTTAGATGTTTCTCCCTTTCCGTGCACTTACCTCACTCTGTTAGAACTGATTGTTTTCATAACCATCTCCCTCCTTGATGTTAGTTCATTCGCCCATTCTTTTGTTTATTCACTCATGCATTTCATTCATTAACAAATATTTATTGAGAACTTGCTATATGCCAGACACTATTCTAGGTAGTAGGGAAAGAGAAATAAAGAAAGCAGATATAGCTCCTTTCTTCGCGGAGCATGCCATTTAACATGGGAGAGAGAGAAATCTCCATAAAAATTACTCTAATGTGGTTGAAAAAGATACTTTGTAGGATTTCAAATCTTTTAAAAAAAATTTATTGAGACTTGTCTTGTAGCCTACCATATACTCTATTGTGGAAGTGTTGCATGTACACTTAAGAATATGTATTCTGCTGCTATTTTGTGAAGTATTCTATATACATCTGTTATGTCTGATTGGTTTGTCATGTTGTTCAAGTCCTCTATTCCCTCACTGATCTTCTGTCTAGGTGGTCTATCCATTAGTGAATGTGGGATACTGAAGTCCCCAACTATTATTGTAGAACTGTTTATTTCTGTCAATTTTTAACATCATGTATTTCGGGGCTCTGTTGTCAGGTGCATATATGCTTATAGTTGTTACATATAAGTTAATTACCATTATTGTAAGTGCCATCAAGAAACCCTGGATCTAATGAGAGTGAATGCCAGGTAGGCCTGCTTTGGTCTGAGGCATCAGAGAAGGCTTCCTTGAGGAAGTAACATTTGGGCCAGGCTTTTTTTTTTTTTTTTTTTGTCTTTTTCCGTGTCCGGCAACGGATCGCAACCCTCAGTGTTGCCCCCGTACCGGACCGGGGACCGGCAACGGGATCGCAACCCTCGGCGTTGCTCCCGCGCCTCGCTCAGCCAGTGAGCGGGAACCGGTCCGCATGTGGGATCCGAACCCTTGGGCGGGAGCGCCGCCGCGCTTCCCAAGCGGCGCACTATCCAGTGCGCCACCGGGCCGGCCCTGGGCCAGGCTTTGAGGAATACTGAAAGTTAGTTGAATTGGGAAGGGAAGACGAGGCTGGGTAAGGTGCTTCAAGCAGGGGTATTTGTGAAGGGCACAGAATCTAGGATCAGGACTGCCTGGGTTGGAAGCCTGGCTCAAATCCATTATCTGTGAGATAATACCCATCTCAGAGGGTTGTTGTGGGGACTGACTGAGTTAGAACGGTGCCTGGCAGAGAGAAAATGCTGTGTACATGTAGGTTAAGTAAACAAGGGGGGGAAGACCAAGCAAGTTATAAGGGTGGAATCAGCCAAGGTGGCTGGTGTACAGGAGGGGAGAAAGGATCGGTTGGGGGTGAAGCCAAAGGCCAGAGATGGCCTTTTCTGTCAGCTCCATGAAGGATGCTGGTCTCCATCTTCAGAGAGGAGAATGGCCCCACTGCTTCCCCCTGGCTGTAGTGCAGAGGAGCATACTGGTGGGACGAGGTTCCAAATCTCTGGGGAGACCTGGAGCAGGCAGAGGCCACTGGAGGGCAGGGACTGTCGCTTATTCATCCCCTCCAGTGAGGACCTAGCAGGACACCTGCCCACAGTAGGTGCTTGGTAAATGTTTGCTTGACTCGTCTCTGGGATTCCCCTCCAAAGCCTTCGCCTCTCTTTCCTTGCTCTCCACCAGGTTGCCAGTCTAGTAGCTTCTTCATGCTGTACTCCCCCTACCAACAAGCCCACGGAGAGGCAAACTCACCTTTAATTTTCTTCCTTCACACCTCTTAACCTCCTCAGCCTCCTCGCCCTACCAACCTAACAGACATCTCCACCTCCCCAGCAGCCACCCCAGCACTGAGTCGCTTCTTGGTGCCCTCGTGTTTCTCCTAATCTTACCCTACTTGCCACCACAGCCCTGCAAGGTTGGTGTCAGGACCTTTGCCTTACAAATGAGGAAACTAAAGCCCAGTGAAGTTAGTAAGTGGCTTGCCCCAGGTCCCATGGTGTGAGGCTGATGCCTGAGATTTCAACACAGGTTGTCCTAGCTCTGCAGACATGCTTTTCCCAATGCCCTGCCCTGCCCTCTCTCTCTAGAAGCAGCCCTTCTCTCAGGGAGGCTGAACCTTCTTCTACTCACCACAGCTGAATACTCCACCTTCTTTACTAGTCTGGGGGCACTATTTGTCCAAAAACCAAGGCAACCTAAACAAAAACAGTCTGAATACCAACTAGCTTCCTTAGGGGTTATCAGTAGAGGCACCAACTAGAATCAAATCCAATCAAAAATCAGACCAAGGCACTGATTACTGTTGTTTCTAATAACCCAGAGGTTGTAAACTCAAATGCCTACAGGGGCCACAGAGATATTGAAATAAGTGATGTGGGACAGAGTTAGGCAATAGTGAAAAGTGGGGACTGTGGTAAACTGAAGAGCACATGCTCTGCATGAAAGCAGCAGCTGCTACTCAGCTCCAGCTGACCGTGGCCTTACCAGGGATGAGAGTCTAATTTTTAAATAAAATTTTTAATATTTAAATTTTTATGTAATGCCTTCCAACTTCTAAATGTCAGCCTCCAAAAAGTTTTTAAATACCCAATAGGGAAATCAAACATATCTGAATGCCAAACTCAGGCTGCAGGAGAACAACTGCCCACCTACCTCTACAATAACCAAATCACCCTTACGCAAATTTAAACAATGATTTCTGCTTCCCCCTGTGGTCTTCTGGGACATAAGCTAATAACAGACTCTTGTTTCTAAAGGACCCCTTATGAGCATATGCTGTGGACTTACATTTCAAAATCCGATAAACTCTGGTCTTCGGATGTTTGACTCAAATCTCCAGGCACCTACCATTAGGAGAAAGGAGAAGGAAGAGGAGAAAAAAATGCATAATGGTTACCATGGTTTGCATAATCACAGAAGAATTCTGCCTCTCAATGATCCCTGAACATTTCCTATTAAGAATGAGGTGAAAAAGCAGTTCCTGGAAAACAATAAGAGATTTTGTGGAGGGATGGTTGGAGATGACGTTGCAGTAATAAAAATATACCACCATGAGAGATCTCAATTATCTTTACGGAAAAAGGACTGTTAATCCTATTGAGATAATCATAGGCATGTAAAAGCATGTAATTTTGGAGTATAAAGGCCTAATTAGGATCCAAGATGGAAGATATCAGATGTGCAACAGAAAAAAATCCATTGTCGCCATGATGAACATCACACACACAGACATGCCCATACATAAACACAAAAGGCCAATGTCTGCCCCCAAAACAGCTCTATCCTTTACCTCTCCTAATGTATGAGTGATTTTAGGTGGCAGAATCCGGCTTCTCCTTCTGACTCAGAAGGGCCACCTGGGAACATGATTGGGTGAGAAAAACTAAACTGCACAATTCAATGGTCCCCACCAGTACTGCTCAGGGGTCCTGACCACACCCTGTGGTGGTGACTATAAGGGCCAGAGGGCATTCAACGGCCTGTGTGACCTCAAGTAAGTCCCCCAACCTCCCAGCCTTGGGGATCCCCCTCAGATAGGGAAATCAATTCTCAGTGCTGACCCAAGGATTTGCAATTATTATGTAAAGCAGATAGAAAAATGCCCAGCACTGGTAGATGCTCAATAAATGATATTATTCTCATACCCAGGAATGATCTTCCTTTTTTGATCTGCTCCAAACTGAATTGGCTAGAATTTTAAGAATGTGGATCAAGACTAAGAGGAACCAAGATGAACAGAGAAGGACGTGGGTAATCAGGGAAAAAGAGAGAATGTCAATTCCACACCTTTTCCCTATCCGTGCTTTCTCACATTATCCACAATCTTCGATCTTCAGAACTACCCCAGGGGTATCATTCCCCATACTTTACAGGTGAGGAAACTGAGGCTCAGGGAGATTGTATAATTTGCCTGAAGTCACACATCTAGGAAGTGGATAATGAACGCAGGTCTGTCCAACAGAGGAAGAGCCAGTTAAAAGGTGAAAAAAGTATGAGAGACTTGAAGTTCTGCCTGCACAGAGGGTTAGAAGACACTAGAAGCTACTCCTTAAAGGAACGGTGGGCTCTGGCTTTGGGAGCAGGAGAATGCAGTGGTTTTGAAGCCTGAGCTCTGGGTCCATGCGGATCAGGACCAAATCCCAGCCCCAGCTTTTCCTGACCATGGGGCCATGAGCAAATCACTTCTCTCTGTAAAACAAGTACAACAGCAATAACACTCATAGCATTGTTCTGAGGATAAAATGAGTTAATATCTGTAGAGTACACAGAACAGTGCCTGGCAGGTAAGATCTCAATAACTGAATGTGTACTATGATAACAATGTGACAATTAGAAGTAAAAGCATCGTGTTCTGTTGTCCTTGACACCAGCCAGAGAATCTGCCCTGCCAAACCAGGGGGGCCTCACACCCCCATGCATGGCAGCCCAGAGGGAAAATGACCCACCCTGAGCCCTTCACAGATATCTGGAGCTAAGTCATAAAACTGGGCTTCAGTAGACTTTCCTAAGAAGGTGCTACGTATGGAGAGACTCCTTCAGACCCAACGAGGAGAAACCTGCCTAGCCACCTGAAACTTAGGAAACCTCAGTTTCCTAAAACCTGTGTCTCACTGGTCCAGGAACCCGCTGGTCTGGGAGTGGGTGTCACCCTGCTGCTACAGTGACCGTCACTTTCCTATAGGTGGCTGAGAGATGGCATAATATATTAGGAAGCCCTGAGGCTGCATGTACCAAGATCCCTAAAAATATCCACATCCTTTGACCCAGAAATCCACCACAAGAATTTATCCAGAGGAAACAAAGACACTAAGATTTACATCAAAGATCATTCCTCTCCCTATTGCTTAGAGAAGTTAAAAAAAAAAAAAGAAAGAAAATTGAAAATAATCTAAAGATCTAACTACAGAGGAATTATTCAAGAATCATTTTTCATTTGCTATCTTTAAGATTTAAAAAACTGTACCTTTTAAATTGCTTAAACAAAATTTAAACATGCTTTTGAAGGACACCGTAGCTTTCTATGTGTTGTTATGAAAAGATCTCTAAGATAGCTCTTTAAATGAAAACAAAAGCAGGTGCAGATGGTAGGTTTATTTATTATTTATTTATTTTGGTGGCTAGTGGATAAGGGGATCCAAACCCTTGACCCTGATGTTATTAGCACCACATTCAAGTGGGCTAACCAGCCAGCCCTTTCTTTTAAAAAAAAAATATATATATATATATTTTTAAATATACTACCTTGGGCACAAAAACGGAGAATTCAGAATGTCCAGCTGTATTTGTTCTTGTATCAAGAAGCTAAAGAAGTGAAATTCAAGGCACCAGTGAAAGGGGTACCAGTAGGGGCAGGGGTGGGGACCTAGGCTATTGGTACACAGCAGTGGGAGTGATTTGAGTTTTGAAATAAATTAATGTACTACCAGTTAAAATTTAAATAAAAATATATTATGCCCCCAAAAGAGTGCTTCTGATAAATTTTTAATGACATAAAAAAAGCTGTTTAATAAAAAGCAGTTAGGAACTGCAAATGCCCAGTGTGATTCTCAACTCTAATTTACAATGTTTGCGTATCAATAGGGTTAGAATGAAATACACCCGAAAGATGACAGTGGGATATCTCCGAGAAAGAAGTCAGATGAATGTGTATCATTTTTTTTTAACTTTTCTGTACTTTCTACAATGAAGCTGTATTAATCCCATAACCATAAGTGGATACACATTATGTATCAATTTAAGTGCGTATCACATCATCAGGTAATAAACTCTTCTCTGCACTCCATCCCACTCCATGTGTTTCACTAGAATGCAGAAAGCCAGCTGGAAGAGACTTTGCCTTCAAACTCTTTAGTGCACCATGTATGGAAAAGGGCAAAGGAAGGCTCTGGGGCCACACCACCTTCTCTCCCCTTGGCGCGTCCACGTGGAGCCCAGTGGAGATAGCCAGCACTCCAGCACCTTCTCGGCAGGGACTGTGGGGCAGCCCTCAGCCCCTTCTCTTTTCTGAGTTCTCCCCTCAGCTCCTCGGGCTGGGGAAGTTTCTCCTGGGCAAGAAGTGAGGATCCGGTTAAAGACTAGAAGAGGGACTTGCAGTCTATTAGGACACCAGCTCCATCAATACACACAATCACCACCTCCTTTAGGTGCAGCTGCGTTTCCACCTGGCAGTGACCATTGCTTGTACCCAGGGAACCCCATCCACAACCCTCTCATTGTAACTACACCACAAAGCAAAAACAAAGGCAACCAAAGGGGCTAAAGTAAAAGGCAAGGGGGGTTTAAGAACAGACGTCACTTTACAATGACAAAAGACAAAGAGCTTCTTCCAAAATGATTGATTCTTGGAACAAGGTATTTTCTTGAGAGATAAGTTTCCCCTCAGGGATGCTGATTTTTAGGGAACATTTTGGAGAGTGGATGTAAGTACCCAGGAGTTATTAAATCTTTCTGACTTAGAGGCTTTTCTTCTAATTATATGGCATTATTGGGATCAGCAAACCAGGAGATATTTATGTGTCTACATGAGCACCAGGGAGGCTGGATGGAAGAAGACCTGGGAACTTTCTGACCTCTGTGGAACATATCTTGATAATAAGGCCAGGTTCTACAGCAACTGTATGATGCTAATTGAAGGCTGATCTTATTAAACATCTTAAAGCTTTGTTTTTTTCGTGCTGTCTTCCCAGACTGGTGCTAGATATCATCTGAGGTTGACAGAAAATCCTCCAGAAAGCAGATTCTATTTCATATTCTGGCAATAAAAGAAGTGTAGAGCAGAAATTATTTTGTAAGAAAAAAATCAACTTCCTATTGATACTGGCCACAAACATCCCCTGTGACCTCCTAAAGCCTGGGGAATCTTGGCAGACACACTTGTGGAATGCAGCCTTCTCTTTGGTTCACTCTCAACGCAGGGCATAAATACATCATCAGCAGGATGGTTATCTTCGTTTGCCTCTGACCCCACAGAGAAGGCAGTTCACCATCTACCTGAGGTCTGGCCAATCGTCTGGCAGTATTTGAGGTCATGGGAAGGCAGAGCCCATTACTAAAGAAACAGAGCAGCCAGGATCCCAGAGCAAACAGCCCTAGGGATGTGGAGTGAGAGATGAGGACCACAGAAAATCCACTTCTGGGCTGCATCAGCAGAGAAGTTTCTAAAATCTCTCCTCACTTAGAATTTCCTGGGCTGCTCAGGGGCTGGGAGCAGGGACAGGCCAATGACAGCAGCTCTCTCACTGGTCATCAAGCTCTAACACCAGCATGGAACCCTATCACTGCTCTAATCGACGAGTCCTCAAACCTGGGAAGATACTAGAGGTTCTGCCAAAAAGAATGACAAATATCTCCTATGTGCTAAATAAATGTTTATTTAAATAGAAAAGAAATGAGAGAGGGAGAGAGGGAGAGAGGAAGAGGGAGGGAGGGAGGGAGGGAGGCAGAGAGAGAGAGAGAGAGAGAGAGAGAGAGAAAATCAGCCAACTTGCCAAAGCCACGGGGAAGAGTATACCTCCTCCCACTGGCAGAATCAGGATCTGGGCAAGTGGTGGCAACGGAGACAGAGAACCCTCCCCTCTTCGGAGTTACCATCACTTCCAGTCCTGAGGGCCGTGCAAACATGACTCCATCACCAGGCATCATCAAAGGCTTCCCGCTCTACCAAGTGCTTTCACACAACTCTCTCCACACCCTCCTCCCAGCAACCCTGTGGGCAGAGGTGTCATTCTCCTTTCACAGGCGGGGACAAGAGGGTTCTATGTGAATAAACAGGAAGTGGAGATGCCAGGAGCCCAACCCAAATCTTGTAGCCTACTCAGCAGCCTCTTACTCAGCCTCAGTGACT